TGTGTACCAGGCTGTCGAGCCGTTCCTTAATGTTGTGTAGTAGTCCATTGTCTGTGTGCCAGGCTTTCGAGCCGTTCCTTAATGTTGTGTAGTAGTCCATTGTCTGTGTGCCAGGCTGTCGAGCCATTCCTTAATGTTGGATAGTAGTCCACTGTCTGTGTACCAGGCTGTCGAGCCATTCCTGTGTGGACAGGCAAGCATTGAGAATTCTTGTCCTCCACAGCTTGAATTACTCCTTTAAATTCTTACTGTTCTAAGGAGGTGATACGTCTGTACGTTAAGATGTTTGCTGTTTTTTAAAATACATGTATATAAAGCAAAACAACCTCAATGTCAACCAGTAGGGGCTAGGACAATTCAGTTCAGTGTCATGGAGTGGAATACCCTGTGAGTGTTAAAGATTGCAGTGTAGGTCTGCAGTGTAATTGATTGACATGAAAGGACGTCCACGATACAGTAAGATCAAACAGCAAGTTGTAAAATAATGTTCAGTCTGATCCCATTTTGTTACAGAAACGTGTGTGCAGAGCAGGAAGTGGAGAGAAGGATGTAACAGTGTGAATATATGTCTGGAAGATAAGGTGCTATAGGAGTTCCACCTTTTCTGTGCAGGGAGTTTTTTTCATGTCACTTGACCATGGACATGGATTAGTGTTATGAAAAGTCTGTCCGTTTTCTCAAGGAGAACTGAGAATGGGGGAGCAATTTGAGGGAAATCCGTCTTGTCTCCTCCAGCAGCAAAGGGACAACTGGTTGTTCTGCGGAGAACGCTGCTGACCGCTATCTGCAGAGAGTCTCAGGGACAGTGCCAGCAGCCTGTGATGTGTCTGCTGAACCCTTCCTTCACTTCATCCTTCTTGTGATGGGTAGTCTGTGTCTGTGAGAAGGCTGCCCCCGCTGTCCAGGAGGAGCGGAGGTTTTCCTTTGAAAACAAGCTAGTTGGGGTAGAGAGCAAGCCCGTGATGTTGGCATCAGACTGGAGAGGTTCGGACGGTGCTGTCAAATCGAGCAGTGCTGAAGAGCCAGACCCTGTGGTCCGGCCTTGTCTGCTTAGCTTCCGACACGACTTACAGCCTTGCTTCAGGAATGGGAACCTAAAAGTGTGAAAGTTGGCCTCATAGTCCTCAAATTTCCTGTTATATGTCAGTGTTTCCCAAATATAAGTCACTTTTCAGTCATTTATATCAACTTTGCCATATATGTGTACCATTATTGTTTTTTTTTACATCTTTCTTTAAATTGTTTTTTAAAATAAACTTTGTATTGAAGTACCCAGAAATGTGCATAAACCCAAAAGTGTTCAGTGTAACAAGTTGTCACAAAGAAAATATCCCTGTGTAATCGTCTTCCAAAAGGAGCTGTGGTGGTGTAGTAGTCAAAGCACTTGACAGCTAGTCAGAAAGTTGGCAGTTCAAACCCACCAGCTGCACCATGGGAGAAAGATGAGGCAGTCTGTTTCCATGAAGCTTTATAGCCTTGGCAGGTCTTTGTCCTGTAGGGGGCACTGTGAGTCGGAATTGACTCCCTCGTGGTTTTTTTTTTTTTTAATTATCATCCAGATCAAGAAATACCATGTCATCCTTCCTCCCCAGAAGTGACCACTCTCTCAACTTCATACACCAGAGATTATTTGCCTGACTGAATTTTTAATCTCACTCCTTTTTCTTAATATGATTTTAAAAAGCTGCTTTGTACTAGTTCTAAAGTGAAAAATTACTTTTCCTAATACACATTAAGATAATTTTTTAAATAATAATAAATACAATATTTAAATGTTAATTGGAATGATAAGATGATCATTTATGTAAAATTTGCATACCACCTAAAGGTGCTTCCTAAGCCACTTGTGGTGTATCTACCACACTTAGGGGAAGATTGACCTGTGATGGCACACATTTAAGGTGGGAAAATACAATTCCAGTGATGGCTGAGGCCTTCCTAACACTACCTCTGACAATACTGAGTGTTGCCTTTAGTCACTGTATTTTGTCCTTTGGCAGACACTGTACCCATCCACAGTGTGCGTGCAGCAGTCCAAATGCGTATTTGGTCTTTTATTGCTGTAGCTTAACCCCTTCGTTCTAGGCAGTGTCATCATTTCTCGTGAAAAACTGACACACAAAGTCCTGATTGGCTCACTTGCTATATTTCAGTGCAACTGGGATGTGAGTGTAGAGTCCTCTTGTCATTACCCACCCCTTTAAATCTGTTGCCTGTGCTTCATTGTGGAATCAAGAATGGACTAGAACTTCTAAGTCATCCAAACCATGTTGCATTTACTCCTGCAAAAGTTACACGGGCTTAAAACCTTTGCAGTGGCTTTTCCTATGGAGATGGGGTCCCCTCCAACATCCTGGTGTGGTGTGGTGTGGTGTGGTGTGGTGTGGTGCATGCAGGAGATGGTCGGGAATGGCCTTTTCACTGAGGTGCTCCTTGGACTAGACCGTCAGCCCAAGACAGCCGAAG